GCGCGCGACGGGTTGCCCTCGCAGGAGTACGACCTGCTCGCGCATCAGGTCCAGGACTACGCCCCGTCCGTCCGCATCAAGCGCGTCCTGGAGCGCAACGCGCCGCACCAGCAGAGCAGGGGGCAGTTCAACATCGACCGCACCACCGAGGGCTCGCACTGGCTGCTCCTGCGGACGGATGTCTACCACACCGTGATCAACATGCCGTTCACCCAGTTGATTCCTTTGTTTGTTGTGGTTTACGTCTCATCGTGGTTGTTATTTGCTGTCTTGTGGATGTACGTCTCGGAGCCATGCGGGTGCGAGCTCACACACTTCAAGCGCGCCTTCTTCTTGTCCATGGAGACGATGATGACGATCGGGTACGGCGTCCCCGACCCTTACTTCAACGACTGTGACGAGGTGATTCCCGTCATCGTGACCGAAGCCCTTTTCGGGCTCCTGTTGGATGCTGCGTTCCTGAACACGTTGTTCCAGCGCTTCTCCCGCGCGTTCGAGCGCGCGGCCACGGTCGTTTTCAGCGCCGCGTCTCTCCTCGAGGTGGTCGACCAGGAGATGCACTGGACGTTCCGCGTCTGCGAGCTGCGGCGGCAGCCTCTGCTGGAGCCGCTGCTGCGGGTGCACTGTGTGCGGGTGGAGCCGTGCCAGTCCCATCCTGACCGTGTGGAAGTCAAAGTCTTGCCGGTCGCCCTCTCCCAGCCGTCGGAGGACATTGCCGACGGCAAGTGCTTCTTGGTAGGACATGCGTTGTGACCAGTTCGGGCAGCGTATGACCAAACATGGTCGCAGGTGCGCCCAGACTTCGCCCGACATGTGGCTTGGGGATTCCTCCGGGCCGCTTCGGGAGAGTCTTGGGCCAGCCCCCCGGCGATGCTTGGCATTTGGTCGGTCCACTCGTCGCGAAACTCAAACGACTGACGTCCCAGCTTCTTCTCATCGTGGACCCAGGAGCTCTCGACCCCATCCCCCGCCAGCGATCGCCTCCGCGACCAATTGCGAGCCCCGACCCAGGCAGGGGCCCACCGACCCGGGCACCCCCTTGGGGGCCCGCCTGGCTGCAGATATCCTTCGATCTCTGAGTCCTGGCCAGCGCTTCAGAAATCCGATCTGCAGGGTGGGCGTCCACACGAGCGGCGCAAGAGAACGTGGTCGTCTTCGCCGACATTGGCGCGTAAGCGTCCCGCGTGAGGTCGCGCGTAAGCGCCCTCGTCTCCAGCGTGGCGGACCGCGCTGGCGGCTCGCGTGAGCCGCGGCGCAAGGCTGCGATGCCGTCTCGCGCAAGACCCAAATTCTTTTCGTCGCTCACGCGAGGTCGCCCATCGCTCTTTTGTCGCCAGGGCCGACGTTGGCGCGGAGGGAGGGAGTCGAGCTCGCCGCGTCCGCTACCTACGCCCCCGGCCCCCAGGGTACGGTAGGTGCGTGCCGTGTCGACCAGCGGCGACCTCACCGCTGGCGTTCAAAGTTGAGCGCCACAAGCGACCCGGAATCGGTCGATGTGGAACGATTTGGACGGTTCGGAAGCGGCCGATCGTTCAAGGTAACGATCCCCGCGGTGTCAGAAACCAATGCCGAAGTCGGCACGACACGAATTTGACGTAGCCGGGGCAGCGCATGCCTTACCGGTGCCTCCTCTCCCTGCCGGTGGCGGCCGTGCACAAGATCGATCGCTCCAGCTCGGGCGCGGCCAGAAGTGTCCCTGCTCCGAGGACGACATGTGTGCACCGCACCGCGCTGGCGCCTCTCGAGGCGTCGTCGATCCTCGACCCAGGTATGGTACGCGGTGCGCAGCTTGTTGCTGCCCCCCGGAGCAAGATAAAGTTATTTGCTTGGGCCCCTGTCCTCCTCCTCCTGCCCCATGCCTCCTTCCCTCCTCCTTCCTCCCCCCTCCCATCCTTAGGCTGAGGGACGCAGGCGAGGAGGCCGCCCGCGGCGGGGCGGCGGCAGGGACTGCGGGATTCTCGGGACAACTGGGGACCTGGCCTGGTTTTGGTTTATGATGTGATCTTCTCTAGTGCTCTGGTTTGCTTTGTTCCGTGATTTTATGTGGTTCTTTGTTACGTGACTTTATGTTGTGGTTTAGTATGTGACATTATGGTGTGCTCTGTTATTTTATGCTGTGCGCTGTGTTGTCATGCTCTGTTATGTTATGTCGTGGTATGTCTACTATGTTGGTCTGTTTTGGCGTGAGATGTTCTGGCATGTTTCTGCGATGTTATGTCATGATATGTTTTGTAATGGCACTGCCATGCTATGTTCCGTCATGGTTGTATTATGGTATGGCATCTTCTATGTGGCACGTTGTGTTCTGTCGTGTTCGTCACTATGCTCTGTTGCCGTGTTATGATATGTTCTGAACGCAGAGTTACGATATGACATGTTCCGTCAAAGTGTGTTATGCCATGTTCTGTTATGAGATGGTATGGTGAGTTCTGTCGTTGTATGGTATGTAACGTTATGTCCAGATATGTTTTGTGATGTTATAAGACGCTTTCTTGTGCCATAATGTTGCTATGATATGTTCTGTCATGTTATGTTGTGTAGTGATATGTTTTTTGGGGGTTGTCGAGGGCGCGACTCGGGGATTCTCGGGACAACTGGGGGTCTGGCCTGGTTTTGGTTTGTTATGTGATCTTCTCTAGTGCTCTGGTTTGGCTTGTTCTGTTATGTTATGTGCTTCTCTCTTATATGACGTTATGTGTTGGTTTGGTATGTGTTGTTATGGTGTGATCTGTTCGTTCATGATATGCACTGTTTTATCATGTTCTGTCATGATATGTTATCTTATGTTGTGTTATGTATACTATGTTGGTCTGTTCTGGCATGAAATGCTGTGGTATGTTATGTGATGTTATGTCATGAAATGTTGTGTAATGGTACTGTCCTGCTATGTCCCGCCATGTCATGTCATGGTTGTATTATTTTATGTTAACTGTTATTGTATTACGTTGTGTTCTGTCGTGTGCGTCGCTATGCTCTGTTGTCTTGTTATGATATGTTCTGGACGTGGTGTCATGGTATGATATGTCCCGTCACGATACGCTATTTTATGATATGTTATGTTATGTTAGTGTGTTCTCTGTCGGTTTCTTTTTATGTAATGTTCTGCACGGATATGTTTTTTGTTGTTGTTTGTTGCTCTATGCTGTCATGATATTACTATGTTATGTTATGTTTGTCGAGTGCGCGAGGCGGGATTCTTGGGGACACTCGGGGACTCTCGGGAAAACTTGGGGTCTGGTGGCCGCTGTACGCAGTCGTGTTTGTCAAGGGCGAGGGGGCGGGATTCCCAGGGACTCTCGGGGATACTGGTGGATTATCGGGACAACTTGGTGTCTGGCGGCCGCGGTATGCAGGGTGGGGTTGGCTGGGTGTCTGTTCCTGAAATCTAACAGCCCCAACCTCGGGTGGGGAACTATGCACCCTACCGCGCCGGGGCGGCGCCGGGAGGGAGCCCAGATGTGGTACACTGCATGCGCGCCGTTCTCGTGCCTGTCCCAAGGTGCCCCCTGGGATGTTTCCAGGGAGGCCCCTCACTGCCTCCAAAGCGCCCAGGGGGGGCTCTCAGGGTGCTACGCAGAGCTGGGGGCTCAGACACCCGACGTCTTGATTTCTGTCCCTCGCAACTTGGGCCATGGCGGTCTCGACTCCGTCCCTGGGACCGGCTTTTCGTCTCGAGTCGTTTCTTCACTGCCGCAGGGCCCTCCAGGCTCTCCAGAGGCCGAAGACATACGAACACTGTCCGTCATGATTCTTGCTGGGCAGAAAGTGGGTGTGGGGCCACCCTTGGCCAGGGACACCTGTGGCAACCCCCGGTCCAGCCCGCTCGCGCCGCCCCCCGCGGCGGGTTGCGACGGCTCGGACCCCACGCCGGACGAGGTCCACAGGCACCTGCGCTCGCTGCCGTACCTGGAGCTCATCGCGATTGTGAGCGGCACCGACGGCGTGACAGGCGACGACGGGAGGGAGGAGAAGGAGCGGGAGGAGGAGGAGGAGGACGACGACGACGGGGAGGAGGAGAGAAAGAGAGAGAGAGAGAGAGCGACAGAAAGAGAGGGAGAGAGACAGAGAGAGAGAGAGATAGGATTAGGAGGAGTAGGAGGAGGAGGAGCAGGAGCAGGAGCAGGAGCAGGAGCAGGAGAGGAGCATGAGCAGAAGAGGAGGAGGAGGAGGAGGAGGAGGTTGAGGACGAGGACGAGGACGAGGAAGGGGGAGGAGGACGAAGATGGGGTGGAGGGGGAGGAGGAGGAGGAGGAGGAGGAGGAGGAGGGAGGAGGAAACGAAGGACGCCGAGTGCCTCGAGACCGCCTTGTTAAAGGATGCATCCACGGCTCATCCAGGATTGACTTGGCGACTAGTGTGACGTGAAAGACCCCCGTGGAGGAGAAGGTGGAGGAGGACGACGAGGAGGCGGCGGACCAGAGTAAACCCAGGACGCGTCAGCGATGCTGCAAGGAACCCTCCCTCCAAACTCCCTCTTCACAGGTTCCGAGAACACTTTCTTTCCATTGCTGGACGTCCCCTATTGGAAGACAACCGTCTCAGAATTTTCAGCCGTGCCAGAACACAGCGCTTGGGCCTTCAACGTCGCGAATCAACACGACCGTTGTACCCTGACGATCCTGACCTGTGAAAGCGCCGCTCCTGGGACTTCAGCACCGCGAAGCAGCGTGACTGCTGCATCCTGAAGCTCCCAAACCGCGCCAGAGCACAACGCCTGGGACTTCAAGCATGCGAACCGTTGAGACTGCTGTAAGCTTGTAAAACGGACGCGCGCGGCGCCATGGCGAGAGCCACAGTTTGAAAAGGAACGGTCCTCCATCTCTGAAGCTGCTGACGGATGTGCGCGGCGTTAAACCGAGTGCCAGTTCGAACAGGAACCGCCCTCCATCCCTCCAGTTGTTGCAAACGTTTGAGACGAATGCGCGCGGTGCTAAGACGAGAGCCACGCTTTCAAAAATGCGCACCCTTCATCCTTGAGGCTGCTGCAGCCTGTTAAGACT